TATAAAGAAAAATATCTTAAAAACATGAGAAGAGAATGATCTGTAAAATGCAACCTTAAAGAAAGCAATCATAACACTCAAACTGAAAAAGAAATTTGAAAAAATAATCACAATATTAAAGTAAAAAAATATTACATTTAAAGCAGAAATTTTAAAAGACATTTTTAAAAAAACACAAAATCTGAGAAAACAGTAAAGTTACTCTCATAAACTTTCCATAATTAAAATATCCATTTTTAATTTGATTTAAAAAAACGTGTTAATTTCTTGCAAAAAAAAATATAAATATGAGCAATACTGGGGAATGAAAAAATAGTAATTATTGTGTTTATTTTTTACTATTTTTAGTATTGCTATATGTAATGTTATTTTGTATTCCAGCTTATATAGAACTGTCATTGGAGCCTTTACCAACAGTCTAGCTGTCTCTGCTGTCCTAATGGACGTGACCTCACTGTTGCCCCTTTTATGCATCCGATCAGTCCCAGCCTGCGGCAAGGTGTCACGTCGATGCGTCCTGCAGCCTCACGCCACTCACTCAATAGGTGGCAGAACCAGGACAATAAAATAAAACATAACAAAAAAGCAAAGATCTCTGTCAGAATCCATTCAATGTCCACTGGAAAATGTTCGCTGCAATGTGTCGTTGACCTTATCGTGTTTTTGTTCACTTTTTACAAGAGCACTCAAAGCATCGCAGCTGAGCGTTTCTGGCCAAAGGCAAAGTTGGAGAGAGAGAAAAAAAAAGATCAAAAGTTTGGTGTGAATTGATTTTTCCATACCAGGGAACAGGGCAGAGTCGAGCACAAACACAAACACACTGCTGCTCCCGGACAACGGCTGTCCACCTTATTGATCCTCTTTGCCAGCAACAACACAGTCATTTGCCATCAGGGATTTGTAACAGTCATTACGTACCAAACCAGCTGGTGGGTGTGTGTGTGTGTGTGTGTGTGTGTGTGTGTGTGTGTGTAGGTGTGTGTGTGTGTGTCCTGCTTTTTAGTCCAACAGAGATCCATAAAGCAAACACAAAAGATGAGTTCTGCCCCACAACTAATTAATCTGACCCATTCATTAATGTCTGTCCCTCTCATCTCACCAAAAAATAAAAATAAAAAAATGGTGGAAAAATACTAACGACCTCAGTCATTTTAAAACATGCTGATACTCTCTCAATAGATGATGCAAGTTTAGGAAAACTCAGACCTTCCTGCAGTTCTTATCAGAAATGCATCAAATCTACAGAGAGAAATGTGTTTCAAAATAACTGAAGGCAAAGAACACATTTCTAAAAAGAATATTTCAAAACTTTATTTAAAAAAAAACTTTTCTTTAGAAAAAGGTTTGGAGAGTATTTCTTTTTTATGGTCATGCAATAGTTTATCCTGTCTATTTTTTCCAGTTTAATTGTCCAAAATATTTTAGTTTCAAATGTTTTTTAATTTTTATTTTCCTTTTAACATTTGAGTTTTTCAAAGTTTTTTTCCAGATGTTATTTTATTGATTTACCCGCTCCACTTCTGGGTGGTCTGTACACAGGCCAGTAGAAATGCTGTTGCTAACGTTAGCATAGAGCAGACTGATTTCTATTAATTCAGTAGAATACTGTTTAACCCATGTACACGATAAAATTTCCCCTAAAAAACTCCCCCCCCCCCCTTTTTTTTTTTTAAAGATCCGATTTTTTTTTTGTAAAAAACAGAATCTGAAAAAATCTACAAGAAAATTTTATATAAAAGAAAGTCTATAAAAACTATTTAAAAAAAAAAGGTAAAATTAAGCCTTAAAAATCCATTCATCCATTTTCTTTCGTTTTATCCGGGGCCGGCTGGTGGAGGACCAACGACTCTACCCCCATCTCCTCCCAGGTAACTGATCTCCTCATCTAATCTCGAAGGGTGCGCCCATCCACTCTGCGAAAGAAACTCATCTTGGCCGCTTGCATTCGCAATCTTGTCCTTTCAGTCTTTACCCAGATCTCATAGCCATAGGTGAGGGTGGGAACGTAGATCGATCAGTAAATGGAGAGCTTGGCCCACCTACTCAATTTAGCTTTCAATTCAGTTTATTTATTATAGCGCCAATTCACAACACGTCATCTCAAGGCACTTTACAATTCAACCAGATCATCCAGTCACATTTACTAGAAGGCAATTTCTCACACTAAGCATGCTTGCAGCGACAGTGGAGAGGAAAAACTCCCTTTAAAGAACCAGACTTAGTACGACTAGAGTTCAAGTAGACAGAGCAGACATAGCCTACAGAGCGAAGCAGAGATACAAAAGGCAACTGTAAACCAGCTCCACATGCTGCCCCATCCAGGAAACACAGCCAGGCAGACGAGCTCCGAGCCAGCTTCCATGTCAGAGGATGAAGAGAGCACACCCAGCCAGTCACAGTCAGAGAAACAGGACTACTCTAAAAAACAGGCCGATCTGAAACATCTATACTCAGACTCGGCTCCCTCTTTACCACGACAGTCCGATACAGCAACCGCATCACTGCTGAGGTCGTACCGATCCGTCCATTGATCTCACGCTTCATCTGTCCCTCACACTTCAACAAGACCAGGAGATACTTGAACTCCTCAAATTGAGACAAGGACTCTCCACCGAACAGAAGAGGGGAGTCCACATTTCTCCAGTGGAGAACGATGACCTTATATTTGGAGGTGCTGATCCTCATCTCAGCTGCTTCACACTCGGCTGAAAACAACCCCAGTGCATGCTGAAGGTCCTGGTTTGATGAGTCCAAACAGCAGAGATGAGATCCTGAGGTTCCACAACTGGACACCCTCCGGTCCCTGGCTGCGCCTAGAAATTCTGTCCATAAATGTAATGAACAGAACCGGTGACAAAGGGCAGCCCTGGAGGAAGCCAACATGCACCGGGACCAGTTCTGACTTACTGCCGGCAATGTGAACCAAGCTCCTGCTTCGGTTATGTAGAAAACGTGCAGCTCTTATGCCTCCTGACCCATACTCCCAGAGCAACCCCCACAAGGCACCACAAGGGACACGGTTAAACGCCTTCTCCAGATTCACAAAACACATGTGGACTGGTTGGGCGAACTCCCACAAGCACCAGATGAAGGGTATAGAACTGGTCAAGTTTGCCTTAAAAATTTGTAAATACAAAATTTGGGATTTTCAAAAAGTAAACCCAAAAAAACTTTTGTGAAAAAAAAACTTTTATTGAAAAAATTAAATTAAAAATATTAAATATATTTAAAAAATTGCAAACTGGCAATATATTGGTTGAACTTGTGAACATAATAAATTATTCCTGAACTTTTTTTTTTATTAAGACGTTTTTTAACAATCTAGTTTTTTCGAATTTACTTTTTCTTTGCTTTCAATGATATTGTAACACATTTTTCTCCATACAATCGTAATCCTGAAGTCGCTTCGAAACATCAACCAGCCAGGGAAGATGGGGCGTTGTGCAGTCAGCCTGTTATATGTGAATGTGTAGGTTGGAGCTTTAAGGGTTCGAGGCCGACCGGCTCGTCTGCATAATGAACCACCCAGTGTTTTGTCAGCTAGAATTAGTCTGAGCTATAAGCAGAAGATGATCACTGAAATTCTCTCCCGATTATCACGGTTTTCTTCTCATCCTTTAAAAAGAAACCCCTAAGCTTTTCTCACACACAATGGATGAGAATTCTAGTTTTCTTCCACACCTGATCCAGACAATCCCAGCAGGTAACCTGCATGTCTTCCTCAGCACTGCCTGTTGAAGTGCCCTTGAGCTGAGCACTGACCCAACAGCTGCTTCAGTGTAATTACTCAGCTGCTGACAGAGTGAGGTTGCAGTCGTGGCGTGAGGCTGTGAATGTGTGTCAACCTGCCTGCAGCTGCAGCTGCTCCCATCCGGCTGCTGCTGCACCCCGGACTGCTAAATGCGGTTTGCTAGGACTGGTCCACATACAGGACAGCTGCAAGGGGGGGTCTGGATGTGGGAGGTGCCATCATGTTCAAATTTTCCCTTTCTTCTAGCAGGCTTGTTCTCACTTCATTAGCGTTCACAGTCATCGCTGGGACGGCTGGCAGAGTTCAGAGAGCTGCGGCTGATCTTGGAGCATGGAGTGTTAAAGGCTTTTGGTGGGAGATAACAGATTAATTCGGGACTCAACGCCCTGCATGGCATAAGATCGGGGGGGTATGTCGTGCAGTTCTAGAGCCACGTCACTTTCCACACTCCTTCGTATCAAATCCATTATGGTTGTCACATGGATTTCACTATGACACGAATGGTCCAATGAGCCTTTTATATTCAGATATGCTGCAAGACACACTGACAAGGATGGGATGCTAAGAGATACAGTTAAGCGCCTCAAAAGACTATATAGAAGAGTATATTTGACAGGAATTTAAAGGCATACATCTACAGAAATCCATGTATGTTTGTGAACTTTTTTTTTTTTTTACATCCTTTGTATCTGTCCATTTTTAGTCACTCTCTTTAAATAAAGTTAAATCCAGTGCAAAAGTCACATTGGTCTTTGTTGTAGAGCCATAAAACCTGACTATGCCCTATTAAGTTCACAGTAACCAATAACCATTTTGTTTTAAGAATTAACACATATCTCTTAAGTCCTTTATGGTGCACCTAAATACATATTTCAATACGTTCAGACAAATTTTTGAAATGTAAAAGGTTTTATATAAAAATTAAATATAAATCTAAAAATATAAAACATTTCATTTTTTATATTTCATGTAAAAAATCTTACAGGTTTTAATTTTCATGTTTTCTGAGTTGTAAAAAATCGGTTGCAGGCGCCCGAGTGGATTTTGAGAGGATAAAGACAAAGCGCTTCGCCAGTTTCCACCATCCAGCTGCAGGATTGTAGATACCCAGAACAGAGCGTGAAAGAACCAGACCAGAACCTTTGAAGGTATTGTTAGGATCTGTATCTGTTTTACGCTCAATAATTGCATCACTTTTTCATCCAGAATCTAAGCAACAGAAATAATATTTAAAAGACCAGTTACTTACAGGCATGTGTGACAGAGAAACTATTAGAGGACTCCAAGTTGTCAACATTATAATTGAGGTGGAAGGGTTTTTCTGTCACATTCTGGTTGGTGTTGTAGAGCTGGACAGCAAACCTGAAGGCGCTGTGCTCCTGAACTGTGGAGCGCATGAACAGTCCACCTGCAGGAAATGTCACACAGGAAACATCTCATCAGATTTTTAAAGGATTTTAACAAGTAGAAGTTTTAAAATTACAAACTGTACTTTGATGATAGCTTCACAATAAATATACAATATGAATCCCCCCAATTAGAGTTGATTTCATCCTTAAACATTGTAGAAGATGTTGTGTGTTTTTAGAGTAAACCACTGAGGCTGTGGAACTGAAGGGATGGGGCTTTAAGTGGCAGAATTTACCTCAGAAATGTTGAGATCTTCATGCAGTGCTGGTGACATTCATGTCTTATCATAAATAGAGGTATATATGGATAGAAACACCGCTAATATATGTCTGAAAGAAATTACACAACTCTGAAATGAAGAAATATGGGTACGATCTTACAGAAAAAAAGCATTTTCAGACTATTGTGATTTTGTTTCACTCTTTTATGCCATGAAAGGGAAACCCTTGGTAGGTAAACTGACTGCGACAACACAGACAACGATTAAGAATCCGATGCTGGTGAAGATTCTCAGTCATCCAGGTCACAGTCTTTCCAAAATGTTAAAAAAAACAATCCACTGGAATTTTTCAAAGCTTGAAGACATTTCACTTCCCATCCAGGGAGCTTTTTCAATTCATAATGTCAGAATTAGTGTTGAGGTTGAGGCTTTATATAGTGGAACAAAACAAGACCTTGTTTTGGCTTAGAAAACATGCAAATTAAATCAGAAAAATGCATCTATCCCTTAGGAATGGGGAGTCTTTTGGGCTCTTTGTTAGCCTGCAATACCTGACACTGGTCCATGCATCTAAAAGAGGGGTCATTAACGACCACCTTACCAGCTTGCACGTAAGGTTAGCTACTTCCTCTCTCTCAACGAAGGACTGCCCCACCACCCCTATATTTTTGGGTATGTTATTTTTAAGCCATTTCTCATGTACGTCTATAAGTTTCTCTTAATAAAAATGTCTGTGTGACATTTTGGACAAATCTTAGATTCTGCAGTTTCTATTTGTTTTTAGATAGAAATTAAATATTTTATATCTATAGATTGAGATCTGCAATGCAACAATATCAAAATCTTGGCGGATATCAATAATTAATGTTAATATTGCCATTACAGATAATGGATATTTACTGATATCCTATATCATATATTCCTCTATCATTGGGACTTTGTAAAATAAACAACAGAAGTGCTGCCATTTTTTGGCTACGATACCGATACCGATAACTGGCTGTGCGTATTGGCCAATTGACCAATACCATACCGATACCATCTGTTTGAAATTGATGTGTGTGTGTATATATATATATATATATATGAAGAACTGCATACTACTTGGATGTAAAATAATAGCCATCATCGCTTTGTCAAACTGCTGCCTACCTTCGTGAACCAGGAAAAAGACTAATACAAAGTTAATCTAGTACCTGGAATGGGTGACAATAGTTGAATAAACTTTTGGCTCTCAGAATGGTAGCGGTGCAGGGCTCGATGTTAACCATTGCCCGATCGCCCAGGCCAAGTAGTTTTTATTGTTGGGAGAGTACAAATTTCATTGCATTTGCCTGCCAGGCTGAAGAGATTGGGGAGCAGTGGCCTGCCATTGTGGATTGGAGGCTGTGGGAGTGGGGCTTAAACTCGCAACCTCAGGATTTCAAGCTCTATGCCCTAACCACTAGGCTGCCATTTTCACAATCTTATTTGCACAGGGTATTTAATACAATGTGCAATAACCTATTTCTTAATATTTGATACCCAGTGCGATAGCTAGATAAATACCCATCTATATAAAAACCCATGTAAATACCCTGTGCAATAATATTGTATAATAATCCTGCTTAAAAAAAAAAAAGACTTCAGCTGTCATATATATATAAGGGCACACTGTATATATTGTATATACCCCCATACCCCTTTTCTTCCTTTGGCATTTATTCTTCTTCTAAATTTCTCCACTGTGAGATTAATAAAGTCAACCAATCAATCAGTACTTGACAGGTTGTTTTTTAAAAACTTTTTCACCTTATGTGGACATGCCATTGGTGTCTGAGTTGAGCTGGATTTTGGTTGCTTCTTAGTATCCACAAAATATATAAGGTTTTGATTGCTTTCTAGGTTGTATACATTTAAAATAGATGATGTCACGATCTGCAGAGCAGCTGGAAAATTCTGACCAGAAGTAAATCCAGGCCCTACTTGTTTCCTGACTAGGCTGTGGTGGGCCCTGGGCTAGGCTGGAGGCTGGGTTGAATGCTATACCCTGGCTGGGGGTCATCTGGGTATAGTGTCCCCTGGTAAGACTGCATTGAGCTGGAGTGGCTCTCCTATCCAGGATGGGGGATGGGGTATTGGGTTTTGGGTCTACCCCAGTGCCTGCCAGTGCCTGCCTCCCCCTGGTGGAGAACGGGGAGCTTATTGGGGTCACTAGGGGAGTAGACTCCCTGAGAGAACCCCGTTTCCCATTTCTCTGCATCCCATGATTCATATAGGATCTTGGGGATGAGGTCTTCACAGGGTGGGTCCTCCCATGCTGGTGGTGGCCCATGCCCCAATTTCCACAAACACCCAAGTCAGCAGCATTTATAACATTTCCAAAACATATATAATGTATGTAGAGCATCAGGATTGGGACGTTTGAAGCACTGGATGTGGGTGAGCCTTTCTAACTTTGCTTGCGATACTCTGCCCACCTGTGGTTGTTGGAAATCATTTAAACACTTAAGATTTAGGGTGGCAGAGGTGGGAGGGCAAACCTAACATCCTCCCTAGTTTTAAATACAAAGTAGTCAAACAGGCAAAAACACTACATCTGATCAGAAGGGGGCTGGCATGGGATCTCTAACACCTCTGCATCTCCATCAAAGCCATAGGTTACCATCCTATGGTTTTGATGTCTTCTTCTCCCGTTGTGAGATTTCGGTGTTCGGCGGGGGTCTGGGACCTACTCTGCTTTGGCAGGTGTACAGTTTATAACGTCTCATTTGAGCGCTTCCATATGTCCATATGGGTGTACAGGTTGGATTGTGTGAATGTGACTGGAGGAATGTGAATTACGTTTTACCTACTTGTCAGGTTGAACGTTTGCCTCCCCCCAACTACTGGAATTTTGTAGGCCCCAAGTATGAGCAGGGCCAGTCTCCTCCCCCTTATACTACCAGCCAATGAGAGGAGCCTCTTAGGGGGCGGTACGTCCCTGGGTCTCGGACCCCTGGGCTCTCATCTGGGTGTGACCAGCCGCTGGCAGAACCAATGGGATGCCCTGTGGATCTTGGTACTATGGCCTCTGGGGTCGGGCACTTTAGGGTTTGGCCCCTAAGGGGTGTGTCTCTGGGTGCCCTTATTTGCCCTTCTCTGGTAGGTCTGGCCATCCTAATGTCTGCCCTCCTTGTGACCCAATGATATGGGGTGCCTTTGGATATCGGGGGCCTATTTCACCTCTTTACCAGTCCTGGGCCCAGTAGGGAGAGTCTGGAGCCACCCACACCTGCTAATAAGCATATTTTCCTTCTGAAGAGGCTTTTAAAATCCTTTACACAGGAGCATGCCTATGGATACATACCAGGCAAGTTTGGTTCCAGATGCTAGTTGACACACTAATACTAAATACTAAGCTGCATTTACAGATATATAACGCCCTGAATAATATTGTGTAAGTTTTACCTTTCACACATGGATGCCTAAGGCATAGCCACTGCTCTCTCTTTTCCTGTTCCTCACGTCGCATACAGGTTCTGGAAGTAGACTTCTAGGAGATACTGTCTATCTTTTGTCTATTTTTGCTTTTTTGTTTTATTCTCTCTCTTTTCATGTCCTCTTTCCTTACTATGTCTTATATAAGTTTCATATACATATACTAAGTGAAACCTTATGGTAACAGTGATCTGTTTGTGAAAGCAAATCTGTTGGACTATCTAGCTGGGACAGAGCTATTCCCAGAGCTATATTGCTAAAAAGGACACAAAATAAAAATAAAAATGAAAATAGGCTACAGGCTAATAGATGCATCAAGGCTCAACTGCTGAGGTGTCAGTCTGCTCATCAAATGATGTTTTAGTCGGAAAGATCAAATAAAAAGGCTATTTCAAATATATTTTTAGGTAAAAACTTACATAATGTGTCTTTAAAGGTATAGTGGAGGATTGGATAACAAAAAACCCCCAAAAAAGACATGTTTCAACAACAGCTATTCAGGTGACTTGGTCAGCTCTGGCAGCACTACAGTGGATCAGAAAGAAAACACAGTGTTTATTTGTAGTAATTAACTGTATAGAGGATGATCTTTTATTTCCAGGTGGATCATCTAAATAAGTGGTCCTCCTAATTGACAATCACTCTGGTGATATGTTTACGTAAGGCCGTCCTACGTGCTCGTCCACATTTTCACTTTCCAGTGGTGATTCGGACAGTGAAAAAATTGTGAATCTTTTTTGGGAAAGTAAGCTTTTATGAGTGATTCAAATGGCAACTATTAAACAGAGCGTGCACGAGGAGAAATGGGCTTGTGCATGCTCTTGCACGCGTTTTATAGGCGTTCCCTCTCTGGAGCGGGTACAGGGTTGTACATGTGCATTTTTTTTCTAAAGTGGAGAGGGCTGGTCTTTTCAGAAATGAGTGAAAATTGTCCTCTATACCTTTAAGTTATACGCTTCATTTGATTTTAATGGGTCCCTTTATCTACACATACAATTCATATTACCCTCGTTTGGACCATTATTTTAATATTTCCATTACTTGATTGCAGTATTTATTTTTAACCAATGAAAGTGAATGGGCGGGGCTAAAACTGCTTTAGACTTGCTGATTGGTTAGATGTTTATTTTGAAAAGCTAGAGAGTATTTTTAACATGTAAGGTTGAAATAAAGTCACATTAGGTTATTTAATAATAAATTAATCACACATACTTTTCCTACATAAATGTATTTTTTTAATACGGGATTTTGTGAAGAGTAGATCATAAATACAGGTTTATTTGTTCATACCTTTTTTGTAAAAACATTTTGCACATCCTGAGAGGTTGATTATCTTTTATATTTTGTATTAATTTTTTAAAAACTATCTTAAGAATTGCAACCTATGTTATTTTTTTCTTAGCTTGTCTATGTCTATTTAAATTGTACTATTATTTTCAGCCGTATGTAAAGGAGCACTGGTTTCCACATACTAAAACTTTGATGATCATATATACATAAATGTCTATTTAATAAAAAACTTTTTCCTGTAGGTTGAGTATATTTTTTTATTATTTTTTTTTTACTATATTAAAAATTGCAACATATCTTATTTTTTCTTAGCTTGTCTATGTCTATTTAAATTGTACTATTATTTTTCAGCTGTATGTAAAGGAGCACTGGTTACCACAAACTAAAATATCTTATATTTTAATCATTTTATTTTATATATCATAAAATATATTTTTCTGTGATATGGCCCTTTTGGGCCACTATAGGGCCAATCCAGTGAGTCAAATATATATTTTCTCTGATGAATACTCTAAAGAAATGCTCTGCAGATTGTTAAACTTGCAATTAGACTCTTTGAATTATCTTCCAGCTTTAACAAACCCCACTGTAAAAAGCAGTGGACGAGGAGTGGACTAGGAGCGGACTAGGGACGGACTAGGAGCGGATAGGAGCGAACTGGGAACAGACAAGGAGCGGACTGGGAACAGACAAGGAGCGGACTAGGAGCGGACTAGGGACGGACTAGGAGCGGACTAGGAACGGACTAGGAACGGTCTAGGGACGAAGTAGGAGCGGACTAGGGACCGACTAGGGGCGGACTAGGAGCAGACTAGGGACGGACTAGGAGCAGACTAGGGATGGACTAGGAGCAGACTAGGGACGGAGTAGGAGCGCACTATGGACGGAGTAGGAGCGGACTAGGGACGGACTAGGAGCGGACAAGGGACAGAGTAGGAGCGGACTAGGGACGGACTAGGAGCGGACTTGGGACGGACTAGGGGCTTACTATGGACGGACTAGGGACGGACTAGGAGCGGACTAGGGACGGACTAGGAGCAGACTAGGGACGGAGTAGGAGCAGACTAGGGACGGAGTAGGAGCGGACTAGGGACGGAGTAGGAGCGCACTATGGACGGACTAGGGACGGACTTGGGACGGACTAGGGGCTTACTATGGACGGACTAGGGACGGACTAGGTTCCCAACAGGGTTTTAAACGTGAACCATAAAAAAAGAGAACAACAGATGTGGTTAAACTTACCGATGTTGATTTGGTTTGGAAACCCTGCCAGCGCGTCCCCGATGAGATGAAGTAAAACCAGGACCGCCGCAACTGAGCGACTCCACATTTTTCCACGGGAAGTGAAATCAACTCCTGGCGTGTTTGTGGGTGAGGAGAAGCAGAGAGACTCATGAAAACGGACTGGAGCGCAAAGAAATCCACAAGATGCGGCGGCGGATCTCTCTCTCTCTTTCTCTCTCTCTCTCTCTGTGTCTCTCTATGTGCGCCCACTTTGAATGTGTGCCAGCCCACTGCTACTGATGCTGCTGATGCTGCTGATGCTGCTGATGCTCTAAGAACCTAAAGATGGAGGTGGAGAACAGGATCTCCTCACTCTGTGGATGAAGACCACTGAAATGGGCCAGAGCGCGCGAGAGAGGGGGCTGATGAAGGAGGAAGGGGAGGGAGGGAGGGGGCGTTTATCAAACTTGTTCTGACGTTGAATTGTAATAAGTGCAGCCAGCCTCCCCGCGTCACTGCAGAGTTGGTGTGTGTGTGTGTGTGTGTGTGTGTGTGGTGCAGAGGCTGAGCAGCACCAAGGCATTAAAGTCAAAAAGGAGCTCAGATGCACTGCTGACTTCAGGGTGTACGCGTGTATATAGGCCATGTAAGTATGTTCTCTTCATCTTCACATCCACCCAACCATCCATCCATCCCTGCGGTACGTGGGTGCAGGAGTATTTCTGCACAGCCTAATCCTGCGCTGTCCCCTGCAGGTGTTTCTGAGCAGAAGCTGGAGCCTCCAGGACAAAACAAGCTGATTTATGGCCGTTTAATCATTGACTGCTGAACCATCCAACATATGCTGAACATTAAGAGAATGAGAGAGTATAGACATACATCACTAAGAGAGTGATAAAGGAATTAAGAGAGCTTCATATGGCTAATTAGGTTATTTGCAAGGGCTGTTCCAGATTTCTTTTGAGAGGGGGGGACCTCAGAGGGTGGCCATTCAGCCCCTCTCCCTGCTTTTATGTCATTAAGATTGGAAATACCAATTGCTTGTTTGTCCAAAATCCTCTTACTGTCTTCAAACTATGCCTGATTTACCCAATAAAATCTATTTTTATAATATATATTATCAAATAATACATTTTCTGCCATCAATGCATGATTCTAAACAGAAGGGCTTGTGAGGCTGTGCAGATGTGATAAATAATTTCTGGTTTGTATACTGGCATTAAAAGTGGGATAATTTTTCCAAGTCTTGAAGCATACACTTTGCATAAAATTTAAACCTGGTGACATTTCTAGTTTCTTTTGCAAAAAATGGGGCATGAGAAGAAAGAAGACAGAGATTTCTGGAAAGAAGAAGGCTTCTGATATTAAAGAAATAAATAATAATAAAGAATGAAGATGAGGAGAATGATGTAAGTATAAGATTTTAGAGTCAGAGAGAGAAAAAAATCCAGCCGACCTATCTGGACCCACCTGTGTTGTCCAAATACAGATGTGGATGTTTATTCTATGAGTTCCAGTGGACAGGAGTTCAGTTTAAGCTTAGGTGGAAGTTCATCTGAAGAAACGATGAGATTACTCTCATCCGCCTCCATTACAAGCCAATCAGCTTCGAACCACACCTCAACGAATCTCAATCACTATCCATAGTTCATTTTGAAAGGTCTCCAAATCCACATTTCAGTCTGCTACCCAAAGCGCAGGCAGTGGTTCCTTAAAGGCAGGATCCTAATCTGGATTAACTGACTGCACAGACGATGTGTTCAGGTGGACTTTCTCCGTTAAAATTTATTAAAGCTTATTTTTACCCACTGATCACAGCAAATATAGCGAAGCCGTTCACTGCCATTGAACACAGGAGCAGCAGAAGCATCAGACGCATCTGGACACACTTTACTGGACATCAACGTAGTATCACTAGTTTGGCTGCTTGTTTAACTTTTAACCTATTGTATAATCAACTGGGAAACGATGATACAAATACCATGATGAACTGCTAATGTTGCTAACACTACATCCATACATATCAAAATACCAGTTTCAATTTTAACCACTCTTTTAATTTTGCAAATACATCTTGAAGTTACAGGTCTAACCCCTACAGGCCAAAAGTCAGACAGCACTGCCTTACATAAAGCTCCCTGGTAATGAGAAAAGCAGGCCGAAGAATGCTGGGCAAAACAAATCCTGGTCTTTCAGGGGAAAAGGGAGGTTAGAAAATCAAAATGACTGTCTCTAACGTAAATCAGTGGTTTTCTTTGAGGTTCTGAGAGTTTAATTGGCAGGTAAAATTAATAGGCGAGTTGTGCTGTTGCTATAGTTACATTTACGTATCATCTTCAAAAGTTTTACTTGATGTAGTGTATTTCTTTAGTCAATTTCTTTAGTCTAAGTTGTTATTTTATATACGTTTTTGTGGATGTGTGTTTTTTAATCTTTTAAAATACCAGAATTAGGAATATTTTTTTTATAAATCTGTTATCAATCAAATCCATTAATCAACTTTATTGTCAACTACAATTTAAATTTTCATGTAATTTACATTATTACATAAAAATGAAAACAATGAACAATGAACCAGATGTTTAGATTAGTTATTCATTTACGGGCAGCTTTTTCACACCTGCTTAAGTATTTATAAGCACTACTTATTACTGTTTGTTAAGGTAGTGCTGCTCTAATGGAAAACAGCTAAGAACGTTACTCTGCCTCTGCATATGAGAACATTATAAGGATATTTTGCAAATTAATAAAGAACCTGATGAGGAAAACATGTTCTTTATAAACTTAAAATAATTTTAGGATATAAAGTTTCCTTGGTTTAGTTTAACATTTCTTGTTAGTATTCAGCACAGCTTTCTGTGGCGACGCACCCACAGTGGTGCTGTATTTAAGTACCGCTCGTAACCTACATAACTCATATTCTATTGCCTACAAAAGATTCAGCTCTCGTAATCCATGATCACCTCGTTAGTTTAAAATCTAGTATTTTTCTCTTGATTACTGTATCATTTTCTCATTATGTGGAGAAATAACTATTTATTGTTTGGAAGGTCACCGTTGGCTTCCATACTTTTCCTCGAAACATATTCATAAAACCAATGTTCATATGCCTGTCAGGGCGCCCATGGAGGGAGCAGCATATTTATCCTGCTGGCCATAGCTGCAGATAAAAAAGGAGAGCGCGTATGAATTACATATTAGGAAATAACTATAAAAATGAAAGTGCTATCAAGCATGACATATAATGCAGAAGGAAATCTGCTAAATACACATTACAGAATGTGTTGTGTAAATCACAGAGTTCTATTTAAGACCATTAAATCGGTCCTTCTAATTTGAAAAACCTGTTAGGATTTTGTCATCAAGGTGATTTCCAGCAGACTTCCTTTATTTCTCTGAAATATTTGTAACCACTCTGTGCAGCTTCAGTATCATCCAAGCATGCTCAATAATAAACCTGTCTGGCAGTTAAACTGGCCTTCCTGCATTGCAGACCCATCTGTGGTGCATTGTGGGACAAGAAAACATGAAAGCTGAGCTGGGGGTGCTGCAGGAGAGCATCCTCATCAAGTAATGCTGGGAAAATATCGGGTTCTTTTACAGAACCGCCTTAAAGGAAACAAGCCTAGCAATTCATAAAAAAGATTTATTCACATTTGCATCATTTTTAATGATTTTGCAGCCCAATGCAATTTTTTTTTAAATTACAAAATACATTTTTATTATGAAGAGAAACTTGATTGAAGCTGTAGTTATCTAATGGTGAGATTTAGAGATTTCTTCCCTCTTCATCATTCCCCCTGCCTCGGGTAGCGTCCAGCCTTGCTGCCATGGCTGGGCACTTAATCACATTTTTATTATAATCTTAGACTTACACAAATTTATTTTGTATACACAAGAGTATACAAAAATAAACAGCTCTAGACAATTTCACTTTTTTGAAGTGCAGCCTTGAAAACAGTAATAAATACATAAAAAATTGATATAAACATATGACCCTATATTTACAGTTCTAAACATTATTATTATTATTAGTATTAATCGCAACTTAACAAAACACAGAGATGCTCAATTTTGGTCATGTTACATTTAACAAGAGTAAGACACTGACCCTCTCACTCCAGCTCTGTAGGTGGCGCTAAAGGTGTGTTTGGCGCCACACAGAAGGGAGGAGCGACTTGCAGCTTGTGTGCGGCTCCATGCATGCATGTAAGAGGTTTTCCACACAATAGTAGCAGTAAAACACCTGTGATGGCGGACTCTGGACAAGAACGCTTTAAGTTCATAAAATACAAAATAAAATTTGTTCCGTTGTTGTTATAAGCAAAAGACATATTTTGTAAATTGAAAAAAAAAAAAAAAAAAGATGCAAACAAAAAATTAAACCTTAAAAGCTTGTAATTTAAAAGAGGGCAAGGGAATTTTATTTGTATAGCTTAATTCAGTGCAAGGACAATTCAAAGTGCTTTACATTAATTAGATAATAGAACAAAAATAAAAGCAGAATAAAAGAAAGATACCTCAGTTAACAATTTAACTTCATCAGTCAAAGGCAGCTCTAAACTAATAGGTTTTTAACTTTGACTTCAAATAAATTAGGCTTTTTAGCCTTTTTCCAGTCTTCTGAGAGTTTGTTCCAGATCAGTGGAGCCTAGGAACTAAATTATGCTTCTCCATGTTTGGTTCTAGTTCTGAGTGGACAGAGAAGGCTGGAACTAGAAGACCCCAGTGGTCTGGGAGTTTTATCCACTGACAACAGATCTGTATTGGATTGAGGTGCTGATCCATTTAAAGATTTATAGTCTAAAGCCTCTTTCCCACTGAAAATAGCAGGTTAAGGCATGTTTTTCAAACATGGGTAGACCCGCTAACAATCAGCATTTGGCTCCCTTTCCATTTGTAATAAAAAGCTGGTCTAACCCCTCATTCCCGGGTTTAAATTTTTTTTTTTCAACGTTTGGAAAGAAAGATCTACAGGGAGCCAGTGGAAGGACTTCAGAACTGGGCTAATGTGATCTACTTTCTTAGTTCTAGTGAGAACACAGGCAGTAGTGTTTTGGATCAGCTGCAGCTTTCTGATGGACTTTTTAGACAAACCTATGAAGACACTGTTGCAGTGATCAATTCTAATAAAGATAAATGCTTGAATTAGTTTTTCTAGATCCTGCTTGGATATTAGTCCTTTAATCCTAGAGATGTTCTTCAGGTGATAAAAGCCTGACATAGTAACTGCCTTTATGAGCCTCTGCAGGTTCAGGTCTGAGTCCATCATTACACTAAGATTTCAGCCATAATCAGTGGGAGCTAATTCTGGATCTCTG